CGCGCATCGCGCCCGATGTTGCCGATCACCGTCCCCGCGCCCTGCTCCTCGGGCACCGAGTAGTTGAGGTTCTTCAGCGCCAGGGCGGGCGCCCAGCAGAGCAGGAAGCAACAGATGGGAAGGTGCATCCCCGAAGCCCGCGGGTAGCAGCTGCAGCAGCCCCTCGTCCTCCTCCGCTCTTCGCTTCCCGAGCCCGCCCCTCCCTCCCCGCCGCAGCCGCCGCCGCCGGACCTGTTGCTCTAAAGCATCCGCAGACACGCAGGCGATGGAGCCCGGGGCTCACGGGCAGGGAGAGAGATGGAGGCGGAGGAGGAGGGGGGAGAAACCACCCGGCAGCTTCAGCATCAAGCGCCTCTGGGGCTCCAATACCCGGTTACTTCGGCTGTGCAACTTCAGCTGGGGGAGGGGGGCGGGGGGGGAACAACTCCAGATCGCCTCCGGATGGATCAAAATGTCCCCCCCGCGCCTTTGCTCTTCTCAAGATCCGTAGATCTCCTCTGGACGGATCAAAGTGTCCATGTGGCTCCCCCCCCCCTCAAGGTCTCCTCTGGAAGAATCAAAATATCCAAGGAGGCTTTGCCCCAGCCCCTCGCCAGGTCCGGAAATCTCGCCCTGGACGGATCAAAATGTCCAATGTGGCTGTCCCAGCCCCTCTGAAGGTCCGCCGGTCTCCCCCTGGCCGGATCAAAATGTCCAATGTAGCTTTGCCCCAGCCCCTCTCGAGATCCGCAGATCTCCCCCTGGCTGGATCAAAGCGTCCCCTCGGCTTTGCCCCAGCCCCTCTCAAGGTCCACAGATCTCCTCGGGGCGGATCAAAATGTCCAGTGTGGCTTTGCCCCAGCCCCTCTCAAGGTCCATAGATCGACAGAGATCGAAGGAGAAGAAATCAGCAGCGGTGAGTGGCGTTTTCCCTCCAGATCAGTCCAAAGAGGAGGGGGGGGAGAGAAGAAAAAAAATCTAAAAAAAAAAAAAAAAATCTGGAAGGAGCAACAAAAATTTCGAGGTGGCTTTTTTGGTGTAGGGGGGAGCTTAGGGGCTACTCGTCGCTTGTGATGCGATCGCTGGAGTAGGTAGAAGAGGTGGAGGGGGAGAAGTCTGGGCTAGGCTGAAGCCCTCTCTTGGCGTGCATTGAGAGGCAGGGAAATGTCTGATTGCACCGCGGGGCGGTTGGGTGTGTTTTTTTTTTTTTCCCAGGGAGTGTTTTGCTGCAGTTAGAGATCTAATCTTGCCTGGCTTGCGGCGGAGAGCTGCATCTCGCTGCCATCGGTGGTTCCCCTCTCGCTCTTCCCTTGGAGAAGCAGAGGAGGAGGAGGAATCGCAGCGTAAAAAATACAGACACACACACACCCCACCACTAGTATCCGGATTTGTAGTGCTATCTTCCTTGGGAGGGGGCGATGGGGGGGGGGGGGGATTA